GATGTTTTTTTATTTGTGATAAATTTTATATGTGATACAAAATGTAACACCTTAATAAAATAATTTACTATTAAAAATATTAAATCATAAGAACTTGAAATTAAAAGATTTGTAATAAAATCCATAGAAACCAAAGACAACATTTATTTTAATATAAGTAATGGCTAAAGAAGTCCATAAGATCAATGGCAAAGAATTTTTGATCTTGAAAAAATATTCCATGATTGTACAAAGTTTTTAATTGCCTTTCATATTTGATTTTGCTAAACATCTTTAAATATTAACTCTAAAATCTAGCTAAATCCAAAATATCATGTTGTTGAGAAGTTGTAATAAGCTTAAAAAGCACATAATCATATTTTAACTTTTAGAATATATAAATATATCTTAAAATAGAATAGATTATTTTTAAATTTAAATTTAGAAATATTATGAAAGTTAGAAGTAATATTTTTGGTATCATGAATAAGAAGTTCAATTTACATATTTGATTAAACTTCTTTGAAAAATGTTGAATCAATAGTCAATGTTGATTTCATTGCTCAAAGATGAAATTGCTATAGTTTTAAAAGAATGATTTATTGTTAATCAAAAATTACATCTTTTTCTTTTAGTGCAAGGTAAAAATATCTAGAAATGGCATTTAAGAGACCTTGTTGTTTTCTTACTTGATAATTGATTTTGAATTCAAATCTTATCAAAGACATTTTCTAAAAAGCTTTAAAACGATTTAAAATATGTGCTAACATAAAATATTTGAGGCTCTTGTAATTTATATATATGGTGATTGGACTAAAAGTATCTTCTAGATAATATTTCTACTCTTAAAATAAATTTATAATTACAAAAAAATCTTTATTATACATTTCATAGTTACTATTGGTTACTAAAATTTTTCTTGATGAATAGTTATTATATGAAGTTTGTTATCTTCTTCCAATTGCAATAATATCACATCTAAAGTATTTGTATCAATAAATAAATGCCTTAGAGAAGTCAACATTGTACAAGATTGGTGTAAAAATCAAAGTTGTATTCAAAGCTATAAATGCCACTTCATCTTCTTTATTCCATTCAAGTTTGTCTTTATAAGTTAAATGTATAAGTAGAGTAGCATCTTGAAAAAAATTCTTGATAAAGACTTGATTATAATTCACAAATTTTAAAAAATATTTTATATTTTTTTTATTATTATTAGAATCTTCTAATCCATGATATTTTAAATTTTTTAAAGATCCATTATAAGACCATCATTTAAAATGATGTATCTTAAGAAGTCAACTTGAAAAATATGAAATATATATTTTTTCATCTTCATGTATATATGGTATTTTAAAGTTTTTGTAATACACAAAAAATAAAAAATTCATATTCTTTTGTATTCTTAGAATAGATTAGGATATTTTTTAGATCAAAAATAAAAAAATTATTAAGAAACTCTTAAAAAAATCATTCAATAGATGTTAAAAAGAAATTAGTACATTTATAAGTCCAAAAGGTATGAAATTATATTCAAAATGTCCATACCTGGTTCAAAATGTAGTCTTCCATTCATCTTTTTTTTTTATGCGTACCAAATTGTATGCTCTTTATAGATCTATTTAGATATAGATCTTTACTTGATTGAATTAATCAAAAAGTCTTAAAATCAAAGATAGAGGATATTTATTTTTTATAATGATTTTATTGAATTTTTGATAATTTACATATACTTGTAGTGATTTATCTTTTTTCTTCATAAATAAAATAATAGCTATTTTTGGAGATTTTAAATGACATATGAAATTCTTAGCTAAATATTTTTCAATGTACTTCTTGAATGCAACCAATTTATTTTATAATAAGCTAAAGATTGATCCAAAAGGTAATTAAGCTTGTTCTTAAAGATCAATTGAACAATTATAGAAACAATGTTGTAAAAGAATATTTACATTTTTCTTTTCAAAAACATCTTAATAATCTTGATATTGCCTTGGAATGCCACTTGAAGTCTTTTCACAATCAAAAATGGATGTAACATAAATATTAAAAATTAATCATTTTTTTGTAATATTCTTAAAAGCTCTTATATCTATCAATAAAGATTTGATTGTATTATACTAACGACTATGTACTTAAATAACAAAGTTTTGGATTAAATTACAAAAAAAAAGGTTAAGAAAGATCTAATCCATTTAAAAATTCTACTTCTTTTGCCACAATAATCCTAAAATAATTGAATTAGAGAGAGATTTAACCACATTAAATATTGTTAAGCTATTATATCTATGAATTACTATTTTCAAAGAAATAATTTTATAGATAAAATTTCTAAAAAACAAATTACTATCTATAATCTAAACATGTACAAACTTAGTTTTTTTTATTAAAGGTATTTCTTATTTTTTTTAGTAAAGTCTTTGCTTTTAAAAAAAACTGAAATTCCTAAATCTAGTAAGATAAAGACTTTGTAGTTATTTAATTAATATTAATATCTATTGTGAAGCAAGGTGAAGGATTTGAGAAGAGAATATGATCTTTAGTAGATGTTGTATAAGATTCTAATTGTATAACTCCTATTATGGCAAAAGAAACTTGTTTTTCAATATATTATCTTCTATAGGAACTATGCTCTTTATTTTGTGATATAATTTTTTTTTGAAAAATGTAGAGTAATGTGCTTAGATTCTCCAAAATATAAGCACAAATCTTCTTGAGGATGTTGAATCTTTTCTTGCTTAGTAAGAAGTTTGAAATTCATTGTATTAATTTATATTGGTTTTGGCCTTGATGAATAAATTTCAAAAAACTTAAGAATTATCATCATGATTTGATTTATTCTTCTTAATCCAAATCTTTGTTCTTAGCAACTTTCAAAAAGTCAATTCTTGCATGTAATAACTTGAGTAATAAATTATTCAAATAATTCTATTGTTAGAATTGTTGATAATAACTCTATATACTATCTTTCAATCCATATCAAAATTGGTTGATAACGGCTTTTTCATTTCAATCTATGTCACTAGAAAAGTTTTGGAATTTGGTAGCATATATGGTAATAGAGCATGATCTTTGTTGTACAATTAGGAATATGGTCTCTGCTACCCTTTACAATTATTTTTTTCAAATGTTGCCAAAAGTACTTCTAAAAATAAATTAATTTCATAAAAGAGTTGTAAATATTTTTTTATCAAAAGTATAAACTAAGAGTAAATCTATGAATTTATTAAAAAAAATTTAACCTTTGATAGAGCTTGCTTTATTGTAGAAATTCTTGAAATTTGGATCTTATTTCATTAAACTTCTTCAACATACTTATCCTTGCCTCCCTCATAATTATAATAGTAATACTTCTCAAAATTAATTTTGAAGTAAATTTTAAATTTAATTATGTAAATAAAATGATAAATAAATAAATAAAATGATGAATATTTAAGAAGAAACTAAAATGGCTATTACCAAATGTAAAAAGCCTATAGAGTCTTGATTAATAAAAATAAAGAATAATTTTATCTTACCTTTATATATACTATCTAATTAAGAAGCTATTTGGAATTGTTTTATAAGTCATCTAACATATGTTCAACTTGCAAAAAACATGTCAAACTCGTAAGAAAAGTTTTTAATATGCATGCTTGTAGCTAACATGTTCAACATAAGGCTAGCTTATAAAACAAGTAGTCAACATATACAATACATAGGCAATTTATTGACCAAGTTTTCAACCTCTTAATTACCTACAAATACTTGTAAAGTCAAATCCTTGTTTATAAAGCTTTTCACGAAGATTTTATTAAATTAACCTACTTTTATATACTTCTTCCTTTCTCCTCTTGTCTTCTTATTTATCACCATTAATATTGATGTTTGTGACATCTTTGCATCTCTATAGTTTTGCACAATGTTTATGTATAAATGTTAATAAAGTTTTTTTAAAAAAATAATTATAAGACACTTATCAAAAATATGAATTAAAATAATACTTTGAAAGGATAATATATCTATATATTACTAAAAAAATAAAAATAGATATAAAATAAAAAAATAACTAAAATAATTATTATTAAATATAAAGATATTAAAAAGTTTTAAAATAAGACTAATGGATAACAAAATCAAAATTAATTTTTAATCTTTAATCATTTGAAGATTTAGAAATTAGATAAAAATAAATAATAAATAATAAATAAGATATTAATACAAGATGTAATAATATAATTGTATATTAATTTGGAATAGAAATTTATAATTAAGCTACAACATTTGGCTATTATAATTCTTCATGAAACTCTAAATAAAGAGCCATATTTTATGATCATTTTTTGCATCAATTTTAATTTACAAATTATACATATTTTTAAAATTTATATTATATTATATTTAAAAATCTAATAATATAATAAATTTAACGTTTGTCTAATAATAAAATTAAGATTTTTAGCTTGTTAAATTATTATCCTTAGAAATTTGAATTTACTAGAAGTTTCTTAAAATTTCTTTAAGAACTGCTTAAGATTCTTCAAATTTTATCTATGATTTAAGATTTGATAGGATTTGAGATTTAAGATTGATAGGAATTGGGATTTTAGAAGAATTAAGATCATTTTAAGGATATTTTAAACACCTCATTATTTCTTAATTATTAGAAATTTTCAGGCTCTAATTGTTCTTCATCTACAACCAATTGCCTAATGCAATTTTAAGCTATACTTTATATAATATTAAAATATAAAAAATGCTTTTTAGAATGTAAAAGATGACACACCATGTTGTCATGTTGAAATAAACTAGAATGATGCATTCACCATATGATAATTTTACGCTGACTAGCGTGGTAAATATGGAATGATCAGACAAAGGTTCCACAAGTGTCGACAGGTCTTCGAAGACACCATTCATAAATTCATCTAGCCACCGAGATCATTCATCTATGACACACCCGTAAATCATTCATCCAAGGGTTTCCAAAGAGGACGTCGAGCCTGCTCCGAAGCTCCCTGGAAGAGCTCGAAGAATTGAGACTGGTGATGACAGTCACCTCAGGTTGTCTGGTTGTGAATTTCCGGCACATTTTCGCGACACACGCTTCACGAGCATCATTTCTGGTGGCGCTCTCGATGGAATTGCATTTTTTTGCACTTTTCCTGTGTTTATCCAGAGATTGAGAGGAACTATGCGAGCTTGTTCGTGTTGATTTACATTTTTTGCTTTTGCTTCCATCTTTCCTCATCCTCTTATTCTTATTCGGCTATGGAGATTACTGCTGCGTCGAATTGTAGTCGCATCAGTGCCTCGCATTGTACAGGAATACTAGAATCATTTCGTGTGGAGGGGTTAAGGATTTGGAGTGCATCCTCTAGGTTGAACTCGAAGCGGTGTTCATTGGATTGCCGAAGTTCCTTGCGGGACGATGTCGTGTCCAACTTGAAAACTCGAAGGAGGTGTGCTGTGGTGGTAGAAGCTTCTTTAAGTCGTCGTTCTGCCATGCTGAGCTTGTTGGCTGCGTCTCCGTTGCTCTTCGCGTCACTCTCGCATGCTCTGGAGCTTCGTTCGGCAGCACCAAAGGATGAATTTGACCAGGAGGAGGAAAGCTTGATAGAGCTCTTTTCGGTAACGTCATTGTTTGTATTCGTCATTGCTAGTGGCCAGGGACTAGATTTTAGATTGGAAAGCTCTTCTAGTTTATGATCGAGTGAGATATCTAATTGCGTGGAGATTTTGCCTAATTCTGTACTGAAATTGTTGTATCCTCCGACGAATTTTGGAATTTAGAATTCAAGGGCTTTGTAATTGCATACTACCAAAACGTAGGCCTCTTAAGGAATCTCCAGAGCAACCATCATATTAATTTGGGGTAGCACTTGAATACATACAGTGTTTAGCGTACACGTGTTTATTATCTTGAGATTATTGACTATTCACATCATTAACCAAGGTTCAGGTACTTGAAAATTGCAGAAAGCAACAAGGTCTGTAGTGTCGGTTCAGAATGTGCAAACCTTGGGGACCAAAACTGTAGGACAACCTGTGAGTGAAGATGATGTGAAGGTGGAAGGCATAGGCTCGGGTTTTATCTGGGACAAGTTTGGCCACATTGTAGACATCTGAAACCCTTTTTCAGACTCTGATATTGTTTGGTTTTGCGTCAAATTTCCCATGAAAACTTCTCGTTGATGAAGCTCATGAATATCTGTAAAGTTTTTAGTATCTGGTGCTGCTTTGGGACTGACCTCGATTCTGAGATTCACAATTTGCATTTGAATAGACCGAAGCCAACTGTTATTACCAACTAGTATCTAGTTCAAACAAATATTTATCATAGTTTCTTCCTTTTATTGATCAAGTTCACACATAACTTGTCAATGTAGGTTACAAATTATCACGTGGTAGCAAAACTGGCTATGGATTCCTCAGGGTGGCAAAAAGTTCAGGTACGTAATTGCTAATGCTGCAAAAATGACCCAGAAGTATTGAAGTTATATAGATTTTCACGGGTTGGGTGGGGATTAATTATTGCAGTCGGAAATTGTGCCTCAATTTCTCGTTGGCGGGATCTCTTTTAGCAATCTTCTTCTGTTACCTGCCCGATGAGTAAAGTCAATCAGCGATCTGAGGTGGCTAGTTGGGTGGTTCATGGCCTTGCCCTTTATCAGGTGTCTGTTCTTGGAGGTGATGGGAAAATTACAGTGCACGATGCTTCCCTGATTGGCATTGATTCAAGCCACGATCTTGCTGTTCTTAAGGTAGACATCTTGTTTTCCAAAACAATTCAGCCCAAGAATCTGACTTTTCTGTTAATTGTTTTGTAAGGGGACTTCAAAGGGGAAGAGTTACGAGTTGCAGTTAAATCCTGCAAGTTTAGTCTCTACTTTCAACAGTTCTGCTGCTCATAAAATGAAATGTATTTGTCGAATTTAACCTTCGCGTAAAATGTCTAACTGAATATTCCTTGTTCTTAGGTACGTTTTAGATAGATCCTACTGTGAAGCCTGCTACATGTGTCCTCTACACGAATTTGTGTCGAACTAACAGAGAAGCGATTTTGCTTTTTGAGATCGATGCACCGGAAGACAGGTTGACCCCGATTCCAGTGGGGACATCTGAAGACATCCGCGTGGGCCAAAACTGCTTTGCTATTGGCAATCCTTATGGTTTTGAGCACACGCTCACCACTGGGGTATGCGCTGCTGATTATCCTAGCTCTGCTTTATTTCCCTCGAAGTGAACCACATTAGCTACACAAATAGAAACTGTCAGACGGTTCTTCTTTTTCGCATTGCAAACGTATGCCGAGTTTGGCTTATTCCTCCTTGGAAGGCTCTTCACATGTGTAACTTTATTCGTCGTTTAGATTGTAAGTTTCCCTTTTGGCATATCATGCTATTGATATTATAAAATGCAATACACGACCTTGGAATGGGCTGCAGGTGGTCAGTGGATTAGGACGAGAAATTCCATCCCCTGCTGGGCTGCCTATTCCTGGTGCTATCCAGACAGATGCTGCCATCAACGCTGGTAATTCCTGGACTCCGGAGTCAAAGCTCATTTCTGTCTTTCCAAGTATTCTGGTTTTTCTTCCTTTCTTTCTTTTCGGTACTTCTGTTTTCTTCTTTTTCTGTTCTTTTAAGGAGCGGGGGACTTGTCTTGGTACTTCACTCGATTGGCTCAGGAAGGTCTTAACCATACTAGCATGGCATCGGTCTAGACGTGACAAGAGAACGTCCCATCTCTAGGTTCCGTTTGTGTCAGTTTATTCGTAGCAGGAGCTCGACGTAAAAAATGCTTGAATGAAGTGTCATAGATCAATTCATCTTCTCTATCTGCTGAATTACTGTTTGAAATAATCGATATTTGACACCTGCTGACTGGATTTTGCAGGAAACTCAGGAGGGCCATTGTTGGACTCGTTTGGAAGAATAATTGGAGTAAATACTGCTACTTTTACTCGTGCAGGTCAGAGTTATATTCACATGATTCGTATGGCGTCATCTTGAGCACTGTTATATTTTTCCGTTCGTATTTGGGACGTGTATGATCATTGACCTCAGGTTAATGATAATCAAATATATGGGTTTCTTTACATATGAAATTTTGATATAGATCTCTCAATTATTTCATGAGGTGTACCAACACCAAACTCAAGAGAAATGAAATTTCAGCGTGGAAACTTTGGGCTCAACTTCAATGTTTTTCATGTCAATCTGCAGGCTCGGGAATGTCATCAGGTGTGAACTTCGCCATCTCAATCGATACAGTTCGCATGCTAGTACCCCGTTTGATTGTTTACGGGACAGTCTCTTCAACTCAAATACCTCCTGCCATCCCATCGAGGAGTTTAGCAAGACGGTATAGCACATAGAAGTGTTGAAAGGACATGGGAGCGCTCTGAGTGTACTTGTACAAGTTATAATCTCTAAACAAGATTCATGAATTCAGACGTTGCAATTGTGAACACACAAGTCCTGCTCAACAATCAAACAGTATCCTTCTAATACGTGTTTGGTGTGTTTTTCTTTTCTTTTCTAGAATCACAAAATTTATAATTTATGAACAAAAAATTTACAGAAGAATAAATTTGAAAATAATGGATGAGGAGGTGTGTAGGCTTGCTTTCTGAAAAGGGAGCATCAAAGCAAGCAAGCAAGCAATAAGTTCTATTGTTTCATTTGTAGTAAAAATTAAAAACACTTGTAAATGTATCTAAATTTAATTGTAAGTGCTTATGTTGGGATATAGTTAGATGAAAAAGTATTATTTTTATTACACTAACGACAAATTTTGATGTGGTGTATCAAATTATACTTTAAACAAACAACAAAAAAAAAATTATATCAAATTTGAGATACTTGACTTTAGAATGCATAAGATTTTGTACCAATTTATGTCCACTTACCAAACCTATTACAAAATCTGTTAACAGATTTTGATTTTATTTTAGTTCATTACTGTTTAAAATAGTCAAGGTTTTTACAAACGAATGTTTGAAATGTAATATATCTATGTATATATATATATATATATATATAACAATAACAGTCATAATAAAAGAAATAAGTTAATATACTCAAGTTTTGGAACAATAAGAATTGTCACAATTGATGCTAAGAAAAATTATTAGCCAGAGATTTGTTGGAAATATTATATGCTAGCTTAATCATGTCTAGATTCAATCATTTCAATGACAATTTTTGGTATTTTCAAAATTACATAAAGAAACAGTAAAGCACTAGGCATTTTTAATGTACATAAAGTCAGCATTCTCGCCTACTTTGGTAACTACCATGCACCTACTTTGTTCAAAACATCAGTACTTCATTTTCACCTTTAGAAAAAGAGCAATCAGAAGTGATCTAGTTGTAATTCACGAAGAATTCACAGTGAATCCCCTTTTCATTCATGGTCATTACACGTATTATCATTCATTATCCTTTAGCCGTACTAGACTGCTGTTTAGCCCTTCAAAAAATCATAAATTGGCACTAGATAGTTTGATTCTAGAACCCAGTTGTAAAAAAAAGACCATGACTTAAATGAATTCAAAGTGTTTATTCTCACAATTATATTCTTGGCAGAGATACAATGATTGCAAAAACTACTTTCCATTCAGACAAGATACTTCCCCAACATGGCGATACTTCATCAGTATGTGTACGTGAGCTTCCAGTTATGGTTTTCTCCCAAATATCTGGATGCATTTCTACAAATCGTGAAGTGAAGTGACATGAGACGAATAAAAAACTGAACCATCAAGTTTTTATCTACAATTGATCAAAACCAGAATGAGATACTTCGTGTCAACTCCATTTGCAACACTGGTGATACAAGGATGTGATTTATCCAAGACTTAAATAAGACTAAAAGAAAACGATTCAATGATTTCAAATACCTTAGGCCACGAACAAGGTTGATCAAGAGGGTTCATTGCCATGAAGGTGACTTCAAAGATTTCAAGCTGCTCCTGCTATTAACAGCAGCGAGGCTCGCACAGGTGGAAGAGCACATAAGAGTGTACTGATGATACCAGTTAAGGCATATGCAATCGCGCAGTAAGGAAGTGCTTCTGGTTCTTTTCCTGCCAACGCTGCCGTCCCTAATCCATGGGCACTATACCACAGATAAACAGACCCAGGGTCAGTACTTTTGATGGAACAACTTCTTTCAAGCATCTTGGGAATGTGATCTATTTGGTTACACAGAATTATCTGTGGAACACACTTTCATGTTCACCTCGACCAACCTCCAGCGTTTTCCTTGCCACAGTGACTCACTTCAGGACCTAGCAGTAACGTCAGATTTGACATAAATTTCTAATTTTCAACCCAGCACAGGCAAAAGTAGGGTGGACAATATCGATGAGCATGGATGGGCAACAAACCTGGCGGCAGTTGCCATGCCTCGTGCTATGGGGTCTTTCAACCCAAACTTATCCATCACCACTTGAGCAAAGTTTGCTCCAATAAGTCCCGTAACCACCACTGCAGCAGCCGTAAGAGACGCATTGTTTCCTGTGGTACCCAAGCCACATAATCAAACTTCAGGTGAGCCAAAAAACCGTTCGTCACCAGTAAACATTATGCAAGCTAAAATACGACTTCGCTATTTCTGCAACACTGTTCTTCTCAGATTACCACAAGAATAGAAGGATGTAGCATGCAACTGACCTTCAAGTAAGGTGGCAATAGGAAGTGCCAGAGCTACAGTGACGCAGCGAGGGATAATTGCAGCAGTCAGGGCTGGTAGAAGCCCCAGAACGCGACCGATGGCTGCCGTGGAGTACAAGGAGAAAAGTGATGATACCACCACTCCTGTAATAATTTCGGCAGCATGCCGCTGGACAACCTGCAACATGTACAAAAATCAGGTGAAAAGAGCCGCATTTACAATTTGTCATCGCCACAGAAATCGGAAAAAATCATGCTTTAAATTTATTTAAATTAAATGAAAGAAAATAAAAATAGAAACAAACTCCATTATGCACCAACCTTCCGCTGTCGATACATGGAGAATGCAAAAGACAGAATCACTGGGCCCAGGAATCCCATGAGTACATCACCAGCCCCTGGGCTACCTGCACTCTTCGTCAAATAGGCTCCTGCACAACGCTTGATTCCCATTAGCAGCAGTCATCCCATATGTATACATAGATACGCATCAATCGAAGTATGCCATCCAAAAAGGTAATACATTCGAATCCGTGCAAAATTTAAGTCGTATCAGAGTACATACAAAGCTTTGAACATCCCAAAATTTCAGAACCACGAATGTCTGAATCATTCCTGACAGAGAGATGATTAGAATTTTTGATTCAAGGAGCACATACCTAGAGTAGGTTCAAATCCTTTGCCTGTTGCCATACCCAATGCGTACGCACCAATATCAGCAGTAACAGCACATACAATAATTGGATGGAAAACCTTCTTTGCTGCCTCAGGGAAACTGCGTGAGTACATGTATCGCACATGTTAGTTATATGACTGGAACCTTAACACTAAACTTAGAGAATTAAAATTTCAAAAGTATAGACAAATATTACAATGATAGATTAATAACAGTATTTTCTTACAGAACTGTTACTACATCCCTTGGGTATAGTTGTTTGATGTATCATTACCGAATTTCTACAAAAGTCATGTTCCCTTTAAACCTTGATATTAATATTGTAAGAGGCTTTTACCTAGTGCCCACCAGGTATCCCACGACAGTCGCTGCAAGTAGAAACGGAGCAGCAGTGGTGGATTCAGGCCCCAAGACAGTGGGATAACGCACAGCTACGCCAAAGAAGACCAACATAGCTGCAATCCAGGAAATACGCTCTGTAGATGTGAAAGGGGCTGCCTTGGGCACAGGGTCTGCTGGAAGGAGTTCTGTGTTGACCATCTTTCGCACCTGTACTGCTGTGTAGCCAGCCACAAGCAAGGAGGCCATCCATCCTCCAACTGCAACACATTGTTCAAACCAAACGCTTTCGTGATTAACTCCCTCCAAATCGTAAGAACTGTATAAGAGGTTTCTTGTGACATACAAATAGGTCACAGAGTGTGGAACCGGAGGGATTGAAGGAATCAGACGGCAACCATTTCACCACAGCTTTTGAAGTTTGTCTAGATTGAGGTGCAGATCTATACATAATATCGCTCCGATTTTGACTCCTTCGGAAGCTGGAATGCCCTTCACAGCGAGAGGGACCACCACCAAAGACGGCACATAGAAAAGAGGCAACCAACGTTGGATGAACAGTATGGCCGGCGAGAAGAAAGCTTCCACCTTATTCGCAGCACCTACAAAGGACATAGCACACATTAATGTCTTCAAGCCTGCTGACACGCTGTGATGGTGCAAGTCTATAATGAAAACTACGGGGCAAAAATTGGCCAAGATACTCGCCACTAACACACAACATGCGAAACAAACCTGATTTTGTGACAATGAATAGGAAGAAGCCAAGTAAGCAATACCAGTGCTGACAGCGCTCAGTGTTGTTAACAGCAGAAACAAGGATAACATTCCAAAAAGCGCACTGGGGAAGCGTATGGCGTTGGCCAAGAACATGCTCTTGAGGTATTTGTCGAGGGCAAGAAATGCTCCCAGAGAAAAAGCCAGATGCAGTCCTTCCTTGACCTGAACATCATGAAACCCTATGCTTCTTACTATTTGAGTTGTAACATGATATGCCTGTTGTGTGCTAATGTGCATATAAGGTCAATGAGGGTCTTCAAAATACGGCTACGTTTTCACTTCCAGTGCATCTCAAAAAGAACAGCAGATAACAGGCAGCAAACTCTTCGACACAGTCGCTCACTGTAACATTAATCCCTGATTACATGGTGGTACACAAGCGATCACAGGTCTTTATAAATAAATCAAGGTTACTTGCAAAAGATTCGAAAAGCCTGTCTATCATCTATTGATCGAGCTATGAAGAGTTGTACATCAACCTTCTCTCAAGACCTTGGAGATGCCAAACCACTCACATCACTCTCCTCGCATGTGGCTTCAAATGGACTGGTCTTAACATCCTGGCTATTAAAATCCTGGGATTCGATTCAAATGAAATTTCTTGATTGAGCTTTGTCCTATATCTATCTTGAACTTGGTTCAGTGCTGAGTGTTCAAGAACTATGTCTGTCTTTAACTGTGAATCTGTCGACAATAGTATGAAATATTTGTGCGTTAAAACATTCAAACCCATGAAATACCCCATACCGCATTCGAAGAGAACTAGTATGCTTAAAGAATCTATGCTCTTCAGCAACTTACAACTCTACTTTACACCCTCCTTGAAGAACGATACCAATGTGTGAGTCTGTGGAATGGTTTCTTTCTTAATACCAAGAAAAAAAAAAATGTCATGGGGTACATAGTCAAACAACCTGACCACGAAACCTCGAAATAAGCTCAATAAGATGCCTAAATTTATCTATAAATTTGATCACTCACCTCCAGAATAGACCCCCAGGCTAGCGTATCACCTAGTGCCACTTGATCATCACATGTTGCAGCTTACAAACATCGCAATGGAACAATTGAATGAAATCAATCCTTGATTGGGAGACAATAATCAAGCCTGCGGCGTAAGTAACATACCATGTGCAAAACTCCCTGACCTGCCGTCGAGTCGACGGTTTTTCCAACTTCTTCTCCGGCGCGAACCCATGTGCTCCATCCGCACGCTCTTCCATCAGATACTTTCGAACCGAAAGAAAAACGCTCTGAAGCTCTGAAAACCTGTCCGCCAACATGTTTGAACCTCATTAACGACGAATCCAACGCGCCGTTCCGTGAGCGACCTCCATTCTTGCTTGAATCCAATTTGGCTAGTGCGACAGTCGATCGCCATTTCATCGCGCTCAAACGCGGAAGTCCTAGCACAGAATCCAAAGTGGAGGCATTGTGAATCGAGGATTTAGAGGAGGCCAGAGCCAGCTGCGGATTAGCAGCAAGACGAAGACACGAGATGTCCATGGCTGTCTGTTCTGAGACCAATCACTATACAATCTCGTGGTAATGCGCACTGGCCTTGCGAGACCTTCCAGGTAGAGCGCTGTAAACAGTAGACTGGGGAAATGAAGTAAGGCTGTTGATCACCACAAACTCGCCGCAGATCGAGTGGGATGCGAGTCTTCACCTCCCATCATCTTTGAAAATTGAGAGCAGGTAGGGATTGGCTGGCCCAGTTCTCTCCTAACTACTTTTTCCGCTGCCGCAGTTACGGCCTACAATCACTCACATCTCACCCATGGCAGCTTTCGCACTGCGCACCCATCCCAAACAATCTTTCCTGGTCCTCAAATGGCCTGTATACAGATGACGAAGTTGGATTTCATTTGAGTACTATCTACGTATTGTATGGTCCAAGAAACACCTCTTCAGAGAAATAATCTTATTAAGTCGTACTTATTTTTGAGGTCTGCATGAACAAGAGTTCGCAATATGGTTAGCAAAATGGTATATTTTTAGAATGGTGAACTAGATTAACAGAGAATAAGGGTGTGACTTGTTCACTTAATGTTGCAACCTCGTCATTGCTTGCACGTGGGGAAATAGAGAGGAAAGAGACAGAAATTACCAGAGCAACTTTGTTTTCATGCATTGAGAAAGTCGTGCAATACGTGGCATATGCTTATTGTATTAACAGATGATAACATGAGCACTTTCCCTATATCGACTACATTTACATCTATAATCTCAAGGCACTACTGATGAATACAACCCACTGAAATTCCATTACAATGCCTCTATAATTCTCTATGAGGTAATATCAACCTGTAAAGCGATCGCATTCCGTTACAATCGTTCCATTGAGATGGAATGTTTCCTTGAGACATTGCTCTACAAAACACTTGGCAACGACTTCCCAGGACTCCATTATTGAAGCCCAGGTCAACAGATACAAGGTTGACCCTAGTTAGTTTTATTTAAAGTTCAATCTACCTGCTAAGTGCCCAAGGCGGCAGCTCATGCCACCCACATTTGAACCACCTACCAACCACCAGTGTAATGGTTCCCTTTGAGCACAATCCAATCCTACTTCTTACAATCTTTTCTGCCAGCACAAGCTCTTGATAACCCTCGCAGTTGATACATCTCCAATACTCACAATTCAGGAGCCATAATTAGCGGAAACATATGTCATCTGTATGACACCAAGAAGGCGTTCGTGAGGACAAAATAGCTAACACTGAGCTGAATTAGCAAACCACCGTCTCTGAAAATTGCCTGTACATCATGTCAGAAAGCCGGTGGTGATACCCGATAGTGCATGCCGACCTTCCCTGAGATGAGGTCAGCGATAATAGTCCTCAGCAACGCTATCCGCATGCATGTCCATACTGGAATCGTTTTCGTTGCACGAGTGAACGCCGTCCCGCACGTGCTGAGAGTGATGCTGCTGATGCTGATGTTGATGCTGCTGGGGAGGAGGTTGAAAGCCAAACCCAGTGGCAGACGGGTCTTCGTGTGGTGCAGAGTCCAGCTGGCCTTCTCGCAAGTCACTACCTGAGTGCTCTAAGCTCAGACTGCCCCTTCTAGCAGGTTGCACAGTGGAGTTCGACACACCGTAGCCACCTGGCGACATTGCGAAAGCAGGAAAGCATCTCCTATTAGGGCTGGAGAGAGCACCTTGAAAGACCGGTATCTTCCCCTGGTCAAGTGGCGCGGACAATGCTGTCGTACGCCCTGAAGTCCCCACGGTACCCACTACACTAAATTGCTGTTGTGCTGGACCATGCTGTTGCAATTGGTGTCCAGGCGACATTGTCATCTCCTCCCCATTGCCACCCTCAAGTTCGCTCTGCACACGAAAACGAGACATGCGGATACAACTAATCAGTCGAACGGAAGCAGCAAACTGTTGTGAATCTACATTGGATCTCAACTTCAAAAACACGACACGAACAGCCAAAATAACCGAGACTTAAACTCAGATACTATTCACAAACATTCATGTTAGGATACCACACCTGAAGATTGTGAATGATTTGTGCAACGGTAATATTGGAACCATTTTGGTGTTCCCTCAGCAACCAGTAGTACAGCTTCTCCTGTTCCGCAAACACGTTCGTATGGAATTTAATAATTTTCCATTCCAAATGAAGAGTACGGACGTTGCCTTCTATGGAATGGGAAGTGGCGGCCTTGCTATTACGAAAGCCGTGAAAGTACGAGAGTAGAATTCTTACAGGATACTTACAGGCCATCCACAACATCCTAGAAAGATCAAACGGATGCAGTATAGTCTGTGATTTAACAAGACGTACTCAAGAATTTTCGAAACGTGCACGATGTCTATCACATATTTTATGAGTCGACTCTAAATATGATGAAAGTGCTGAAACAAAGACAACCAAATCAAAGCACATGTTCCACATCTTCAGATATCTACGTTCATCGATGGGGGCGGGCATAGACTGGGTGCATGATTTGAAGGAACTGCGGCAGTAACCCTAGTCGGGGCTACCACCATCCAATTAAATAACACGGGGAGCTCACGAACATATCAATGAGCTTGGAGACCCAAATTAGGTCGTGAACCACAGAATCGTCATTCGAAAGCCGAATCATCCGATAAAGCACACAATAAGAGAAACCCACAGACATGCGAGACAAAAACAATTCACGCTCGCGTTATTGACATGCTTACCACTGCATGTCTTTCGCCTGCTTGAAAAGAAAGCTTCTGCTGATTCTGAGCTTGTGTATAAAGCTGGGAAATTGAGTTCGCAGCGGTGCAGAACGAAGTGTACAGAGTTCTCTCCACCTCGTCAAGTGCTGCATTCTCAGACTTCCTCTTTTTTGCCATTTTTTCCGAGGGATGTATGTCTGCGCAGCACAATGCCAGAACGTTAAAGTCAAAATTGGATTTGTGAACGAGACTAACTGCGAATTTAAATTAGGACCCACGACCTTGGAAAAACACAGTTAGTCGCAGCTTAGAGACGAAGCACGTTGCCAAAAATGCAAACACAAAAATTTCATAACGACAACGAAGATCATCCTATAACTATAAATGTCAACATTTGACGACCAGAGAGGTTCTGAACAGCAGAGGGTCGCAGTCAAAAGAGAATTAAAACTCATTTCTAACTGTTAAACAAAGGACCCATCAAAACCATGCACAGGACGGGCCTAGATCCTACTCGATACTCTTACACAGCGAAATTATAAACCACCACAAACTCTTCGTCAAAATCATGATTAAGAGGGTTTCGAAAAGTACATCGATGGGCGTGAATCACCACTGCTGCATATCAAGACACAGTTCCGCAATCCCGTGACAATATATCACATCAACCCCCAACCACGCACGCCATCCATCTCCTCGCACCACCACAAAAACAACCCCACTCTACAACTCCCGCTAAACCTAAAACTATGGCATTCCCATCCCAAGTGCACCAGTTCCCGACGACTCACACCCCAAGCACGCAACCAAACAAAACCAACCTCAATTCAACTCCGCCAAGTCCCCCACCAATCACTCAATTCCAACAACAACAACACAACCACCACCACAGGAATCTAACTAAAACGCCCACCCTCTCTGCCCATCCGCAAACCCCAAACCCTAACCCTGGGGTTTCTCCACATTCAAGGACATACAACACCATATACCATATACCATCTAACGGACACAGCAACGTCCCCCCATCCCAACACGGAAACCTCCGCAACGAAGAACAGACAGAGAACGCACAAGGCGAGAAACGGTAGAGAGAGGAGGCTTACTGGCGGAGGCGGAAGCGGAGGTGGGGCAGGAGGGAGACGAACGCACAAGGGAAGAAGAAGGGCTACACCACTGGTGCTGCTGCAATGGTGGGCATGGAAATGTATGAAGTGTGCAACAGCAAATGGACTTTATGAAAGTGGAGCTTCAGTGCCCCCCTTCCCTTCCCTTGCCTGGGGCTTTGTTGTTGTTGTAGGCTTCGTTGTTGTTGTAGGCTTCGTTGTCGATGGTTCCCCAGTGCCCCAGTCCCCCTCCTTCTCTAGGCTGGGCTGAGATGGGATGAGGGCCAAGCCGGAGGCCCGCTCCCCCGCCCAACGGCATACCAAACCGTCTTTTGAGTGCAACATTTTCCGAACTCCGTGTCCACTTCGAGGCTTCGCAATTCCCATCACCGCCCCCACGTCAAACTATTAGTAATGAGTCCATGCTTGGTTCTACACTTAGGGTGTGGTAGGATAATAGAGCACGCGATGTGTAATTGTACACACATGTAAATATTGTATTCTAAAAATAAAATCTAAATTTCAAATAAAGCAAGATAGAGATAAAAAGCTAGATGGAAGACATATTTGGCTACAAATGTTTGTAGAACAGAAATTCAAAATCAAATTATATGTTTTAGAATCTTATGTTAAATTTTTTTCACTATTTTCCAATATCTCTGAAATTAGAACGGTGAATAATTTTTAAAATCCTCAAAGTTATTTTAAATATTCATAGTGATTTAAAGATGTGCATTAATTTTTAAAGTAGATAACTTCCAATCTAGGATTATAAATAAATAAATAAATAAATAACTTGGTTTTTTTGTGTAATGAAAAAAAAAAAAAAAAAAAATTGTTTACAAAGTTTTATGCCGAATGCTTTCAAGTTTGCCATATAAAAATTTATGATTCAATATTGAAGTGAAATATTTTTGTTTTTGTATTCTAAATAAGGTTGTATTTGTTTTTTAATTTTAAGTTTCAATTTATATTTGCATAATCTTTGTAATTTTTTCAATTATCCAACTTATTTTTAAAATTTTAAATGATAAATTATCTATTTTTCTTAGAATATTTTTTCCAATAAAAGGCATTAATTTAAAATTTTAAAATTAGTTAGAATAATTTTGAAATAAATAAAGAAGTACTATTGTTATTGATCTTATATATAACATGTTATTTATTGGAAAAAAAATTATATATATATATATATATATATATATACATAGGTATTGAATACAAATGATACTATAGCTAAATTTAAAATGATTTTTGGATCTAAAACTATATCAATTTGTTGCATCAATTATAAGTAATAAACTGATATAGATTACTTCTGCCATAAGAAGAAGAAAAAAAAAAAAAAAGAAAAAAAAAAGAAACAACAACAACAACAACAACAATAACAAAAGAAATAAGAGAAGGTATTGGTAAGAAAAGCAACACAATAATTTGATTTGGAAAGCATGAATAAAAAATTAAAAAAATCAAAAATTAACTGAATTAAATTCAACATGAAAACTCTCTTCTTCCACCAAGACGATGACGGGAATTAGAATTAGTAAAATTACAAGGGAGGGTAGAAGGGGGATAGAAAGAAAATTAGCTTTGCTAAAACAATCTTTACATGACAACTGAATGCCATCAAAGTGGTGTACAATTTTTATTTTACTTTTATAATTTGAATTTGATTAAATAGTTGAATTATTTTGGCATTATATATATATATATATATATATATATTAAAAAATATATATATATATAAATGCTAAATCTTATATATATATATATTACCAAACAATCATTCATAAAAAATTTAAAAAATATAATGGAAAGTAATACAAAAGTTTAACAATTTCAAAAGACTTTCAATTTATGATTTTTTTGAAAACCCTACTATTTTGTCAAACTATATTAGTATATATATAAATATAAAAGAACATTTAACCTACTTATTTGGTACAATTATAGAAATAATTTTAAACAATTAAGAGAAGACTAAGGTTCTACTTATTGAAAATCTTCTATTGCTAATTAGATAGTTATTTAATAAATAAGATGACCAAACTAAGGAGTTTCAAAAAATATATATGAAAATATATTTTAGTACATGCATTTACATCTCTTGATGTAAAAATTGACAATACTATTTTGTAGGGTTGTGGTTCATATAGTTTTTGTATACTTTGAGAATTTTGCTATTAATTAGTTCTTCTTTTAACTATACAAGGATTAGAAGCAAGTTATATGCAATTCTACATATATAATGTTAATATTGCTTATAGAGCGAGAATGGCATATAATACAAAATTGTCAACTTAGATAATATGAGAGCTTGAAGAATGTTTGAAAGAGCATCATATATTTTTTACATTTTATTGTCAAGTACATAAAATATCTTTTGAATCAATAGAAAGCAGAGAGAATGGTGATAATATATACATGCATCTTTACTTTAATAAAATTATTAATGAATAACTTTATAATCTTCTAATTTTTAATAAGGTTATTTTTATTGTACTTAAAAATAGAATACAAGAGAAAGAGATGAAAAATATAGTTGTCTAATAGAGAAGAGGTCTATTACAAGAAATTCACAAGAGACATCTTGTATACTTACTACTTTATTATATTATTAATTTTTTTATGAAAAAAACACAAATAGCATGACCATATGAGATATAGAGATATGAATGGTTATGAAGATATAAAAGAAAATAGGATGAGTATACAAATTATTTAAATAGAATTTTATTTGTATTAAATGATTTAACTAAATAAAAAATATGTTACTATCTTATGAAGTAGAAAGTTGTTACAAGAATTTATGATAGATTCTTTGGTAATAATTGTTAATGCCATGAATCATAACAAAATAATAAAAAATTATAATATACTCTCATATGATCAAAAGAAAAAAAAAAAAAATTAATTAATAGATATAGAATTGAAACCAGAATAGTTATTGCTATATGCAAAAATAATAGGAAGTAATAAACCAAGATAGAATATAAGAAAAGAATTGATAAGAATCAAGAAAAACTCACTCTTGCTTCTGTATATACTATCTATAAAAGAACAATGGCAATGTCTTACATGCCATATGATATGTGTCCAACTTGCAAAACATGTATCTAATTTGTAAGAAAAGTTTTTGACATATGTCCCATATGGCCAACTTGTAATACAAGTGACTAATTGTGCAACAATTGGCCAATTTATTAGCTTAGTTTTTAATCTACTAATCATTTATAAATACATGTGAAGTCTATAAAGCATCTAGGAAACTTTGCAATAAGATATCAACAACTTAACCTACTTCCACTTATTTCTATCTAGTTCTAGTTACTTAAATAAATATACTAGTCTATACGGCTATCTATTATAATAACCAAGTATAATCAATTGAAAATATCTAAGTATGAATCAATATAAGTTACAATCAAATATCCATCCAAATGTGCCACAAATTTTTGAAGATGTGCAAAATAATGAAGTTGAGATGTAGAATCTAGAATAAATAATAATTCCTTTCTCAATTTATATTAAAGTAGAAGAAGTTCGATTGAAATCTTCTAAAAGTCTATTACCATTACTAAGTATTTTACGATCCAAATATATTTAGAATCATGACTAGAAATCTACAATGGCATAAAATTTGACATAGACTTCTTTTAAGAAAAAATGCTAAAAATTGTCTCAATTTAGTAGCCAAAATATATAAATTCAAGCACTTTATATTGATTGATGGTGTTTTTGAAAACCTCATTTTATAAAATACTATTATAAGACTGCATACTATTGAGTTAAAAAAAAAAAAAAAAAAAAAAAAAGGACTTCAAAAAATGCACTTTTTTATTTTTTGTTAAGCAAAAGAATAAAATAAAAGATACAACCTATGTTGATGGGATTGTTTGTACAAAGCTTTATATTAAAAAAGGTCCATTGTTAATTGTGTTAATTGAGAAAATGAGTTCTTACATGATTCATGGTCTATGTAGACCTCAAAATATGCAAATTCAATGTATGATGGATTGAAAATATGAAAAGATGTATAAAAAAGAAAATCAAAATATAACATTAATAAACAATGCCGGTTATCTCCAATATTATAGAAAAAAGAAGAGAAGTACATACAATTTTAGTAATCAAGTTGAAAATAATGAAAATGTTGTTTTGTGTAATATTGCTATTATCTGAAAGTGTAATTTTCATATCAGTGTTTAGGTTAATTTGTATTTTAGTTCAGCTTGTTAATTATATTCTTAAATATAAATATATATATATATATAACAATGCAAATAAGAAATGAGGAAGATGATGTCAAGCAATACATTGATGCATAATATATTAGAATTCCAAAGAAAACATAACATTTGTTTGAAACAAAAATTTATGAAAAAGTTTCAAATGTGGTTTCGTTGACATTATGTCTTTTTGGAATGCATCAAGTCATTTTTCATTTTGAAGAATTTGTGGATGTAGATGAAGTTTTAGTTGTTGGAGAGTGTCAAAAAACAAAACATGTTGAAAAGTGCCATTGGAGGTAAAATTTTAAGCATTATTATTCATGGACCTATAGAAAATATGATTTTATTTATTCATTTATTATCAATTTTTACTTGAATTGCTATTTTTTTTATTGATATCTGACAAAAAATACTCAAACTTCTATTCAAAGAAGCAAAATATATCCATTTTTCAAATAAATATACACATATAATATTTGAATATATATTTATAGATATTTTGTAATTTAATACTAAAAATATATTTAAAATTAAATTAATTTGATTAATTTTACATAAAATCCTAAAATAGAAGTGCTTTTAATTTGAAGATACAATATTTGGAGGTTGAAAATTGGTACCAAGAAGACAAATCAATTTTCAATGCCAAAAGAAGCACACTTAGTAATGATACATTAATCACATCAACATTTTCAATAATGTTGGTTAGTAAGAATATATATATATATATATATGTGTATATATATATTAATTTCTTTCTCTTTATGTTTTTATAACTAAGCTTCTTTAGTATATAATTGAAAATTTTGACCTACCAATGATTTGATGTTACAAACAATTGTATTGCCTAAGTAAATATAAATACTTTCAAAATAAATAAAATCAGGTTAGGTTGATGATATGTTTCTTTTGAAACATGATATCCAAATAGAAACATTGTTTATAAATACATGTATTAACTTAAAAATCCAGTCATATGTTTTTATTGATCTTATTTACATTAAAAATAAACATTTTGAAATTGTGAAAATACCGTATTATATAAAAAATGAAAAATAAAAAATTATATTAAAAATTTAAAAAAATTACCACGCAAATTATAAGACAAAATTGCAACTAGATTGTAACAGTGAGAGGGACGTGTTAGGGGATGATCCAGGAGCGGGAACGTGGCGGTGCCACGGTGGCACCCGGGATTGGAACGTCAAGGCTCAACCCCTTTAGGCGCGGATCCAGACGCCGATATGCAGACGACGGAGACGAAGACGACGAAAATGGTGTCGACGACGAAGATGGTGACAGAGACGGAGAGTGCGAACAAGTGAATGCGTGTGTGTGTGAGTGTGCGATGTTATCGTCGGGAGTGGATTTGAGAAGCATTGTGCGAGTGTGGCTGTATTCGCCCATTTGTGGCTCGTTCGCAGTCATGGTGTGGAAGGAGTAGAACTTAGCTTCATCCTGGTCGCAGGGTTTGGCGTTTCCACTGTGGCTATGGCGCAAGCAATGCCTCGCTTGCTCTCTCATCCTACCCCTACTCTGGCCAGTGTTAGGAGGACCTGGAGCAGCAGCAGCGATGGTCACCTGCGCTCCAAGAGCTCCGTGCCCCTCCGTGTCCCTGCCCTGCCTCAACCCCTCGCTTGCTCTGTGCCTGCCTGGCGTGGTCCTCTTCGAATTTCCCATGTCAGGGCCGCGAATGCTGCTGCTGCAGAGGTTGACCTGCCCAGCCAAGACGACGACGATGGGGCTCGTGGTCCCACTCCCTCTCCCGAGACTCTCGAGGAATTCGAGACTCGCCCCATGCTGGCTGGTTGGATGCCTCCTCGTTACCTCTGGCGGGCCATTGCTGCTTTCATTATTGCTGGACAGGTATTCAGCATCTCTCTCTCTCCCTCTCAATTTAGTTCTCGATCTTTTTTTCGTGAACATCTTCCCGTCTTGAGCGTGGTTCTTGCGAACGATTAGCGCCTGCGTGGTCTTTACTACGCGCAGCTGTGCATAATCCCTCACCTGTTACTTCACAACCGGCGCTATGACTGGACCAATTTGAAGTTGGGCATTGGTGTTCTCGAAATCTGTTGCATGTTCTATATGAATGCTTAATTCCAAACATCCTCAACAATTTTACAGGAGTCTCCATTTTCTTACGCATTCACTTCATCTAGATTTAATCATTCTTAAGCTAGAATTTCTGAAGAGTGGGTGGAGCAAGGGTTTTAAATGTAAGCATCCATGTCTGTGTTTTATTTCATTTGCAGGTGATAATCAGGACACTTAGAGGAAGAATACATGTTCGGAACACTTTGCAGCAATTAGAGTTAGTTGGACCACGATCACTGGGTGTCAGCCTCCTGACGGCCTCTTTCGTTGGAATGGTTTTCACGATACAGGTTTGTAGTTGCTTTCTTCTCTGTTTTTGTACTGTCATGTTAGTTCAACTGAAGGATTTAGGACTTTCTTGTACCCCGAATTGGACACAGAAGCAAGGATTATGAACTCCCAATTTGATGAATGAGATGTGGGTTGTCGGCTGTCAGTGTGCATCGTCCTGACACTATACACCAATTTGGCAGTTTGTTCGGGAATTTGCCAGGTTGGGATTAACTAGGTCAGTTGGAGGTGTGTTGGCCTTGGCGTTGGCAAGAGAGTTGTCTCCTGTGGTGACAGCTATTATTATGGCGGGCAGAGTTGGAAGTGCGTTTGCTGCCGAGCTGGGAACTATGCAGGTACATTGTTCGTTCCATCATTCGTAGGGTCTTCCTGCCCGGTTTCATTTCTGTCAGCATTTTTAGCGAGGCTAAACTCCGAATGCCCTATGATTAGGGTTTTTTCTACACCACACAAAACGCATTTTGTACTCTGCGATGAGCATGTATTACGCATCTTACATTTTCTTACCCTCTTTTCTGACGCCGCTATCTTGCAGGTATCAGAGCAGACAGATACACTGCGAGTATTGAGGACAGACCCAGTTGACTACTTAGTGACTCCCCGCGTTATTGCATGCTGTTTAGCTCTACCTATTCTCACCACTATGTGCTTCGCAGTGGCCATGGCGGCTAGTGTGCTACTTGCAGACTCTGTTTACAATGTGAGCGCTAACATTATACTTGAATCTGCCGCAAGGGCCTTGCAACCATGGGATTTAATAAGCACGACAATTAAGTCTGTTGTGTTTGGCGGTATCATCTCCATTGTGAGCTGCACTTGGGGTGTGACAACACTTGGCGGAGCTAAAGGAGTTGGGGAATCAACCACGTCAGCTGTGGTCATTTCTCTTGTCTGCATATTCATAGCTGACTTCATCCTTTCGTGGGTGTTCTTCCAAGGCGCGGGGGATGCTCTGAAGGCAGCCATGGGGTAATATTGTAGTTCTAGGCACATCTTTTCTGTGCTCTTTACATGCGTATTAAGAGATTTTTTTTATTTTTATTTTTATTTTTTCCTACACATTGTCATCGGGCAATTTGTTTGCTTCAGTTCGTCTCATCTTCCTGCTTTGTGGGCTTTTGTGGGATGAAGCTTTCGTGGTCATGGTACGAAGTCGTGTATTTTGAGCGAGGTTCTCAAAGTTGTAGAGTGTAAATCCGTATAAATGGCAGACATCGGCTGATTGCAACCGTTTGATGTTGTTCTCTTGTTATTTCTAGTTCTATTTTTTCTCCTTATTACGATTTATAAGGGTTTTCCTGTGTGGTGTCCATCTGATGATCCGAAATAATGCTCCTCTACATTCATTGAGCAATGATCTTTCGACTATACACAATCATTAGAACTGTGCATTGGGCTTTGTAACCATGCGAACTTGGTATGCTTAGATTGAGAGTTAAATTGAGAAAGAAAAAACATGGGCCTGCCGTTTAGTTAATGAGGGATAGAATTTTTCCATTTAGGTTGTTTTAGAATTTGAAACTGTGATGTTACTTTATATTGAGTAATGTTAGGGATTACAAGCTAGTATGTCAAGGTATACAGCAGTTGAAGAATCGATGAGGTATCATAGTTAGTGCTTCGTAGATCTAGCGTCACCATTCAATCTGATGTCTGTTTGTACTTGCAGGCTAGAATAGTCGAGGCATTCTCCCTTTTGATGGTGGAGTGATTTTGCAAATTTGAAGACAACTTCTGAATGGTAACGCAAGTTGCTTTGTATGAAACCTCTCCAACTGGATGTATCCTTTGCTATCGTTTGGAGACTATTCGGGTATCTGTAATCAGCTTAAGTATAGTAGGTATATTTTGTACATATTACTGGTGGCCTGCTTCCCACTCCTGAAAGTGGATACTTTAGCTTATGTACAAAATTAAAGGTATAGACACATCCTGGTCGGTGTAAAATAAAGTTGTCATACAATGAAAACAGAGAGCGTAAGCGACCCTTTATTTTAGTCCCTGCACTGTTGGTCTCTTCATGTTTGCTCTCTTAACCTCATACACATGCTCGCTACTTTTAGAAGTTTTAATTACTTTGATAACAGTACTCATATACACCTGCTTCTGTCATTGTTAGATGAGCGTAGTTGGCTGATAATTTTGCTGCATTAGATTTAGCTTTATTGTAGGTGTGGTGCATTTTAATTGCAATTTTCTAAAAGGTTTGCTGGATGTCTTCGCAATGGTTGTATTTCTTGGAGGTGTATGCTTCTTTGCTTTGCCTTGGTCTTCAAATTCTTCACTTCGTGAGTATCTATCTGAGCCAGTGAAGTGGTCTTTCGAATTGTTGATGTTGAAGTAAACCACCAGGATCTTCGCACACATTTGCAATTTAGTTTAACAGGTGAAGTGTTGTTGAATTACTGGAGAGGTAATCGTTGCCTGTTGAACACTCTTGTCCACCCATTCGAGAGCAAATGCTTAGGGCATGTTAAAATGCATTTTGTGCCAAAAAACTGATGGGACACTACATAGTATTCCATGTCAATGGTTATAGTTTATAAATATTTATGAATGTGACCATTGAGTAAATTTTGAGTAAACTTTTTGTGGAGTTGAAAATAAGATTTTATATTTGTGTAGATTGCATGAATTGAGTGAATGTAGAGTTTGTATGCATTGAAAAGTAGTTTTTGCAAGAATTTTCTTTAAGTTCACTTATAGGTATTATAGGTATTATAGGTCATTATAGTTCACTTATAGGTATTTATAGTGTCAAGGCCATCTTGTGTAGAGGTGGACATAAAAAATTTACTTGTACATTCTAAACACTATTTGTAGGTCATTAATTGCTTACATCCATGAAAAAATATTCCCTAGTACTCTTGTTCTTCAAGTTCTTGGAATTTCCCTTATTCCCTTCTTTGTCTCTTTGTGTAATACCTATTTTGTTTATATAATAGATTGACATTGAATTTAAAGTTAAAATAGTTAATAACAAATTATACAATGACTATATTTTAGGTAGATTAATAAATTATCTAATTTTAGATATTAAAAAATATATTATAAAAAAATCAAAGAAATATTCATTTAAGTTTATCTAATTGTATTCAATAAATACAAGAAGTGTATATATATATATATATATATATAAGCTATATTATTTTTACATAAAAATATTTATTTAAAAAATTAAAAAATCTATTAATTTTTAAGATCTAATACATTTGTTTTTACATTGATATAATGCTTCAATTTTCTATTGTATATACTAATAAAAACAAGATCAAATGTGACATTATACAAATACATGTATGTCTCTATTTGATAGTTTAGCTAAGTAGACTAATGCCTTGGTAATGGGCTCGAATTCTCAAGGAAGTAGATTTAAATTCTATACTTGTGACAAAAAATATATTTGATGCCTTGAAGTCTTTTGCTACTTTTGGTTTTATTAGAAATAAGAACATGTGTTTGCAAAACTTTTTTGTTTAAGAATTGTGATGGAATATGTATTAGCTTATATTATGCTGTAGTGAATTCTTGAATTTAAGTAATGCTTGGAAAATACATTTTTTATTTTACTAATAATTTTTATGATAAAAAAAATGATAATAAGAGAAGGTATTGCCAAATAGGTATTATGAAAAAACAACAGATAGCTTTCTGAGTAATTAACATATTAGACTTTTTTTTTTTTTATTATTATTATTCTTTTTTTGCATAGTTTTTTATTAGCAATGATATTATTATCTTAACTTATAATAGTATGGAAGTGTCTTATGTTCATAATTAAAGTTTAAAGCCCTATATTTGACTTTTTCATATTGTATATGTATAAAATAGTTTTTGCAAGTGTGGTTAAAAGAAAAGACAATGGCAAATCAATAGATATTAAATTCATATATTAGAAAAAATAGAAGATTATCTTCTTCAAAACCAGTAACACTAAAAGAAACATTTAAGAAAAAAATATTTTCATTTAATAAAGACCATTATTTTTTAAAAATATTCTTCAATAACTATAAAAAAAAATATATTTAAAAAACCTACAATCACCAAATATTACTTATTGATATAGAAATAAATTATTCTAAACTAAATTTAAGGATCAAATATTTATTTATTTTTAACTATGATGTAATATAAAATGTGTAATTAGTAAATTCATAAAAATACACAAAAAGACTTTTGTAATGCATTGAAATCACAAATCTATTATACCAATATTTGTTAGTTATTTAATGTTAGACTTTATTTTGCATAAATTTGTAAGCTAATAAAAAAATATTAAGTTTATAAAATAAAAACCTATAAAAAGATAGCTATTTTTTTAATAAATATATTTAAAATTAAATATTATTTTATAAGCAAGAAATGTAGAACTTTACTTCATTCTTAATTTTATAAAAAATGTTATATATTTTTTTTCTCATGTATGTTCTATTACTATATAGAAACAATAGTGATACATATATTTATGCTTTACCATGATATTTATAATAAGCATTATCAAAGAATAGAAATTTCAATACTTCAAAAAATATTAAAGATAATAATAATCATAATAAAATGCAATGCTATCTTGTATTATTTTAAAGAAAAAATCTTTGTGTCATGGATATGAATATTTAAATTAATTATTGAGAAGATAAAATGGATTAGGTAAAAGTATGTAAAATTAAGTTAAATTAATAATATCTTAGTGGAAATCTTCTTAGAAGCATTATTAAATACAAATTCAACTTTACAAGTATTTGAAGGTGATTGATAGGTTGAAAACTTGATCAAGAAGTTAACCACATATTACACATATCAACCATGTGTTTTAGAAGCTGACCACATGATGCACATGTTGAAAACTTGTCTTGCAAATTAGACACATGTTTTGCAAGTTTGACATGTGTTGAATGTCTTATAGAATATTTTCACATACCTCCTTAATTAAATAGTATATATGGAGGCAAGAGTAATGCCTTCTTTATTCTTGTTAACGTTTTTCTTTCTTCAAGTCTGGTTTCAAGAATTTCTAGTCTTCTTGACTTTGGCTATAACCATTCTATTTTAGTATATATATATATATATATATATATATATATGTTTTTCATCTTTTTTTGATATACATCTTATTTTTTTGTTATTTACATTCATCAGGATCTTATCTTTAATAAATTAGCAAAAATATACTTATAATAATAAAATTTTGTATTTTTTAATTATAAGTGGATTATCTATTTTATATGATAAGATATAATTATATTAGAAGTTTTAAAGTATCTACTTCCAAATTAATATTTTTCATAAAAATTCTTTTATTTTTGATTCTTCTTTATTATTTGTTTCAAATAAAATGAGACATTTTATTTATTGTCTTATTATAACAAAGCTTATTGAATAAAAAGTGTGATAGCATAATGCATGAGTAAATAAAAAAGTTAATGCTTGCAATATATTAATTCAATTCACTACTACATGGAGCAACAAGATTGATTGGAAGTAAAGTTGTAAAGATGGCTAGAGATACCTCAACACCTATACTAAATCATATTACTTCTGCTATAGTCAAACTCTTTTCAAGAATCATTATAACTATAAGGGAACTAAGAGCTGCATTACATAAGAAGTTTGATAGTCCAAGATCAAAGTTTTAAGGATTTATCAACCAATTATAATTGGTGATTAAGCTTTAATTTCAAATTTATCCAACTCTTAGATCACAAGTCAAATTTATATTTTTAAAAGTAGAAAATATAAAAATAAATGCAACATATTTTAAACACCTCAATGAATAAGAAAAATATCAATATTATGAAGAAAGATTATGCTTATATTGTAAAGAATCTAACTATATTGCTCAACATTGTTCAAAAAAAGAATACAACTAAAGAATGAGGAGTATGATTATAATGGAGTATAGATAAGATATTTGTAATATTGACACATAGACATAAGGTAGTTAGTGCCATGTTTGAGAAGTTTTTAGAAGTTTCTAGAATTTGGATTAGATTAATGATCTATGTAGGATCTACCATAGAATATTCTAAAAAAAACTTAAGATAATTATTTCAATAGAACCCACTATTAAAAACATTCTAGTAAGCTCTAAGATAGTTGGACGAAGTATAAATAGGACTAACCAAGGCCATTTGGGTATTTGATCAAGTATGGCTTCGATCCTTTTTTTTTTTAGTAAATTTGATTTTGCACTTTTTTGTTCTATTATGTTCTATTCTCTTCTACTTTCTTTTATCTTTCATGTTTCATTTTGTTTAGTTTTGTTTAATTTTTTTTTAGTCCACCCTATTCTATATTGTGATAAGATTGACATTGCAATGGATTAGAAGGGTCTTAGATCTTAGAGATAATCTAATTCCATTTCATAGTATCAAAGCGAGTGTTAGATTGTTTTTTGGTAGTATGTTGATAGTGACCATCTAGTTGGAGGTGAGTTATTTTAGTCACATCAAGTATTGTTTTGAGGCTATTATGAGTTACTTTTAAGAAGATAGCTGAAAGGAGAGAAGACATTATAATAGAAGAATTTAATAAGGAAATTGCAACATGGGAGATATGACAAAACAATCTTAGATTGAAAATCAAATACAACACCTCCTAGATCAAATAGCTACTTTGTAAGGACAAATGGAAGCTTTCTAAGACAATGGAGTTGACATATGCTAGGCTGAAATTATGTAAGCTTAATATATATTCTAGGACTTCAAGGTAAGAAAATGTATGTCAATGGCTCTTTAGCATGCAACAATATCTCCAATTATTTGAAGCAAATACCACCAAAAGAATTATGTATGTTGCTAACTATTTGAGAGGTGCGGTAACCTTGTGGTGGTGACATTGAATTCAAAGCTGTAGAACTCAAGGTAGATTTTGTGACTAGGAAGAATTTGTGACCAAGTTTATGAGTCAATTTCAGCCTATTAATGTGGAAAAGATAGAATGTGATTAATTGGCTAATCTTATATAATCTACATTAGTACAAGATTATATCTTTCAATTCAAGTCCCTATGTCTCTAAATTGAGAATGTTTTAGAGGCGGA